TTTAAGTTGCATATTATGTCTGAGTCACGGAATTGTGGGTGAATTTCATTTCCTTCCTAAGTTATACTTGGATACCATTTTTACAGTGGGGATTTGAAGGGGAGAAGTAGGAACTTTTAGGGAAGTGCTCTACTTTCAGGGAAATACGATTGGCTTCAGCTTCATCTGATTCTGACACTGAATTGGCATACACAGAATTTACATCTGTGGGGCTGGTGCTGTGGCAGAGTGGCAGAATTCAACATGGTGACTGGTTCAAATCCCTGGCCCAGCCAACCTGAAGTGCTCCAGACATGGGTGAGGACCCAAGATCTGACGAGCTAGAGCAGGACCATGGTGTGACCAGACACCGTGGATGGTATACTGTCTTCTTTCTCTCTCACATGCCCGTGCACAAGCTCTACCATGAATAAAGAATTTTTTTTAAAGCTTATATTGAGGGACCAGCATATGGCATAATGGTTACGTCACTGGATTCCCACATGGCCATCCGCGGTTGGAGTTCCAGACCCGGTGGCTTGAAATTCATGCCTGACGTATGTGCCTACATACCCAAAATCTCGAGAGGAGAAGGGATTGTGGCACGGCTATCCATATTGGGGAGTGATTTCTCACTTTCCCTCTCACTGTGTCTGTTCCTTCTTACTGCATCTGTGTCTCTCTCTCCAGGAGCTCATGTGCCCTAGGGCAAAACAAACAAACATATATGTATATATATATATTTTTTTTTTTTTTCTCTGCTGTCTTACAAATGTCATCCATATATTTAATTATTTTTTCTTAGGAGCATGGTCATGCCGCAGTTCCTTCTCTGTTCTGTTGGGATTTGGGGCACATAGGTACTTACACCCAAAGTGTCTTTCAAGCCTGGGGAGCTGACATTGAAACCGAGGTTGGTGACCATGTGGAATCTGACTTCTTTTTAAAAAAAATTTTTGCCATGGGAACCAGCAGTTAGCGTAATGGCTATGTCGCTGGATTCCCACGTAGTCAACCGCAGTTCGCGTCCCGGACCTGGTGGCTTAGAACTCATGCCGGGTGCATGTGCATGCGTGCCCAAGATCCCAAGAGGAGCATGGAGAAGGGATTGCGGCGTGGCCATCTCCCCTGGGGCGTGATTTCTCGCTTTCTGTCTCTATGTCTTCTCTCTGTCCTATAGCGAAAACCTCTCAAAAAAAAAAAATTTTTTTTTTGCCAGAGGACATGTGTGCTTGCCCCAGAGCATCAGAGAGAAAAAGTGTAAAAGCACCTCCCATGAGGGATGGTCATGCCATAATCCCTTTGCTGTTTCTCCATCCTTTCAGGATTTGGGGTGTATACATGCACCTGGTTGGAATCTCTGCTTTAACAGCTATCAGTTGGATGATCTTGGACAAGTTCCCCAATCTCTCTGTGTTTCAGATACCCAAATACCTTTCTTATGGGTTTAAAATTTTTCTCCGCCCTCCACTAGAATGGAGATTTCATGAAAACTGGGACCTCCCTGATATTATTCACTGAAATATCCCCCAATGTACCACACTGTAAACACTTGATAACTATTTGTAATTTATTGTACAAGAAGTGAATTAACATTTGAGTTAGTTCCCAAATCTGCTGTTAGGTGCCACTGTAAGAAATTCTGGTACTAGCAGCCAGCCAGGTGGCTGTTGTTAAGCCGGCTGGATCCCAACATGGCTGACCGGGTGGCTCGAATCCCAGACCCAGCAGCTTGAAAAACACACTGAGCACATGTGCATGCCCAGAATCCCAAGAGGAGAATGGAGGAAAGGGACTGTGGTATGGCCATTCCCCCAAGAGGTGCTTTCTTACTCTTTCTCTCTCTCTCTCTCTATCCTGGGTGAGCACACACACCCTAGAGCAAATATATATATATGTGTGTGTGTGTGTGTGTGTGTGTGTATAAATAAAAAGAACCAATACTAGAGTGGGTAGAGCTCAATCGTAGAACATTTTACTACAGAAATAACTAACACTGTTCAGTATATAAAAAGTTTACAACATAAAGTACTGTAATAAAAATCTTCATGTGCACATGATCAAAGCTATAAAAATATAGGTAATAAAGACTACAGAAACAGGTGAAAAAATTATGTCATAGGTAACAAGTTGTCGTAATGTGACTTTGTTATAAAAACTGATAATGCATTGGTTCTAAATTTTGTTTTAAGCTAAACCATGAATGAACTCTTATTCCTCCAGTATAATTGGTATTTTTAAGTCTTTGCATTTTAAAAATTGACTTCAAGCTATCCTATATGTAGCTCACACAAAAACAAAGGCAAGAAGTTTTTTATTTATTCACCAGAGAGTACGTGTGCTCGCCAAAGAGAGAAAGAGAGAAGAAAGCAAGAAAGCCTTCCCCCCACACACCGGGATGGTCATGCTGCAATCCTCTCTCCGCCATGTCTCCTTCCTTTCAGGATTTTGGGCACATACGCACATGTACCTGGCATGTTTTCAAACCACTGAGTCCAGGACTCGACCCCCCAGTTGACCATATGGGATCTAGTTGCCTTAACCAACAGTCTGCCGACTGGCTTATTGTTTGTACAAGTTCTTTCCAAAATAAAGGCTAGCACAGATATTAGAGGAAGTCTGACTGCAGCTGCACAGTGCAGTGGCCCTGTCTTCCTTGGAGTATAATCCTTGCCTCTATCTGAGTAAGATTACAGTCTAAGAATGGAGATAAACCCAAACAGGGCACAGGAGTTAGGATAGGCTTTTGGCTACCAGGAAGTCATGGTACCAGTCATACTCCCATATAGCTTTTAACCACTGATGGCAAAAGGCCTTCCGTAATGCTGGGTAATAAGTTACCACCACTTGGCATTCTTAGAAATTTATGGCCAGGAACAGCCGTGTCACCTTCCTTCATCAGGAAATGGTAAAGGACACAGAACTGAAAGTTGTCCACAGTTTTCTTTTCATCTCTCTTTAAAAAGTAGGACTGCATTTTTCTCAAACTGCAAAAGTGTCATATACATTGTGGAAAATCGAGCAATACAGAAAGGCACAAAGATCAGAGAAAAATAATTTTTAACAGTATTATCCAAACATATGCATTGCAGGCCAGTAGGTCCTCTAAACGTTCACTAGGCATATAGACGCAATTTAAATAACGTCAGAGCTTTACATTACTCCTTTTTCAAAATGTTTTTTTCACTTAATCTTCTCTGATGTCATTAATTTTTTTTTGAAATATAAGTGTTTATTAGCTGCGTAGGTGTTTAATCATATGTAGTACAATTTAATTAATCCCATTAGTGAACTATCACATAGGAGTTTTTTCCACTTCACAACCATTAACGCTATGAATAGATTCACAGCTTTGGGCATATCCCTGATTATCTCCTTGGGGAAAATCCCTAGAAGCAGAATGTCTCTGTGTATACACACATTTCCAGGGGTTGTCAGGGCGGGGGGGGGGC